AAAGGCAGACCAGATTCATAGGGAGGAAAAACAGAAAGATCTTCCATCCATTGGTTCACTCCCCATGCAGCCCCAAAGGCCAGAGCTGAGCTAATCCAAAGCCAGGAGCCAGGTTTCCCATGTGGGTGCAGGGTTCCAAGGCTTTGGCCATCCTCTGTTGCTTTCCCAGGCCACAAGCAGGGAGCTGGATGGGAAGTGGAGCAGCTGGGACATGAACAGGAACCCTTATGGGATCATTCTGGTGCTCAAAGGGGGAGGATTAGTGAATCGAGCCACTGCGCTGGGCCCACAACTATTATTAAAATCAGAAGAGAGAGGACAGAGAAAGGGTCCCATTGCATAGCAACGTGATTTCACTGTACATAGCAACCACGAGTGAAGACGCCATCAATGGCAGACACACCAAACAGCGGAACCCAGGGACCTGGGACCAGAGGCGGGCCAGGAAAAGGACATCAGCATGTCTGTGTCACAGTGGCCGCTGGAGAAAACACAAGACTGAGGAACTAACACATCACCCACAGCCAAGGACCAGAAGTAAACTCAGCTTGGGAGAGTGACGGTCCGGCAGCGTGTACACTCATCTCCCAGAGCCAAACACTTCCCAGTCAGATCACAGGAAGTCCCCAGGTCACACTCAGCAACTGTGGTGCACACACATTCCTCTCAAGGACACACGGTGCAGACGCCAGGAAAGACAGCGTGTTGGGCCACGTTGTAACCTCAAAAGGGCTGGAATAAAAACCTGGTCCTCTGACTACAGGACAAGTAAGCCATAAGTAAGTAACCACAAGGGGGTCCTCAAAAAATTAATGGAAAATGAATTAAAATTTTTATTTTGGCTCAAAGAAAGATAGAAAGAAAAGAAACGAAAAGAAAAGAAAGAAAAGAAATGAAATGAAAAGAGAAAGAAAGAAACCCACACGTAATTTTCTCAAGAGACACCTTTTCCATGAACTTTTCTTCTAAGCCTTATTTTATTTTTATTGGAAAGGCAGATATACAGAGAGAAGGAGAGACAGAGAGGAAGTACCTCTTTTCACTGATTCACTCCCCAAGTGACCACAACAGCTAGAGCTGAGCTGATCCAAAGCCATGGAGCCAAGAGCTTCCTTTGGGTCTCCCACACAGGTGCAGGGTCCCAAGGCTTTAGCCCATCCTGGAATGCTTTCCCAGGCCTTTCGGGAGCTCCATGGGAAATGGAGCAGCTGGTGCATGAACTAGCACCCACAGGATCCGGGCACATGCAACATAAGGATTTAGCCACTGAGCCATCACACTGGGCCCTTCTATGAATTTGGAGGGAGGGCGGGGGGAGTGGGGAGAAGAGAAAGACTCCTTGTATCTAACTAGGGAAAAATCTGAGATATGTGGAAATGAATACATTTCCAATAACCAATGTGTCCTCCTTTTCTTGTTTCTTAAAGATTTATTTACTTTTATTTGAAAGGCAGAGTCACAGAGAGAGGAGAGAGAAAGAGATATTCCATCTACGGGCTCACTTCCCTAACAGCCACAATGGCTGCAGCTAGATTGGTTTAAAGCCAGGAGCCAGAAGCTTCTCCTGGGTCTGAATGCAAGGGCCCAAGCACTTGGACCATTCTCCCTTGCCTTTCCAGGCACATTAGCAGGGAGCTACATGGAGGTGGATCAGCCGGGACATGATCCGGAGTCCAGTAGGGACGTTGGTGTCTTAGGCAGAGGCTTAACCCGCCACGCTGGTCCTCTCCTCGTTTGCATTCACCTACTATCCTTTGGCTGAGCAGACAACCGTAACGCCTGCAGCCTCGTGGGGAAAGACTTGATAAGAAAACTTTACTGGGAGTGGGGTTAAGACACGTGTCTCTTGTCACCACTGAAGACCAGTTAATCCTTTCCCTCGCGGAATGAAGAATCACATTTCAGAGACTCAAGGAGGAAGAGTACTGTAAACCTTGTTCAAGCTTCTGCCCCGAGAGGAGCGGCCCAGGAAGCTTGCGGCACTGCCTGGTGAGGGGGCTGTGGCGCTCACAGGGGCACTTCACTGACACCTGGCCATGGCATGCCTTAGGGCTCCCAGAGTGCACGGAGTACACCCATGTGGGAGGAGGGGCAAGCTGGGTGCTGATGATGTTACAGCATCATGGGTCTCTCTGATGTCACACTTTGGGTCTCAGCAAGCATGAACCCTGAACTGGACACCTGAGGTTCGGCTGTGTTCCTATTTCATCAGGATACTCCAGCCATAAGTTATGCCAGCAAGTGGACAGTTTTACGTGGGCCTAGGCGGAAAGCAGGACCCTCGGTTCCTCTCCAGCCACTCAGGCTAACATTCTGCGTGACACTCTCGCATCGGAGGGCTGGTTCCCAAAAAGCAGCAGCAGCTGAGGAGGCTCCCTTGGCAAAAGCCACCTCCCAGCCTCACCAGCGCTGCCTCTCCTGGCTGGTCCTCCGTCCACAGAGGCCGAGGCAGCACCACCTGTGACCTCCTTCACGCACTCGGCTTCGCCAACTAGCTTCCTGTTCTCACATTCCTACTTTATGAGCTGCTTCACAGACTTCCAAACAACTTCCACCACCTCAGCAACGTTCTTTCCACTTCTGGAAACGAAAAAAAAAAAAAAAACAAAAGCAAAAACCTCCTACCTCCGGCCTCTGAGTGCCGCCCCGTTGTTTTCCTGCTTTGCCCAAGCAGCTCCAGACGCCAGCGTGGCTGCTGGGCTGCTGGGCTGCGGCTCTGCCACCGGGGCTGAGAGTTGGCCCGGGGAGTCCAGGGATCAGGGTGACTCTGTCTGCTTCGGGAACCTTCTCAGGAAACAGGAGCGCTGTTAGGGCAATGCTCTGTCTATTCCACTGAAACTCTCGCATCGTGCTTGATGGAAACACCGGGCAGATCTTTGTTAGGAAATAGAGAAGGAAAGCCCCCACTCGTGGTCTGGCCTATGGGAAAGAACCTGGGCTAAAACCCTCAGCCAGCTGCTGACGAACACGGAGACTGGCAGCCAGCAGCAGGTGCAAGACAGCAGGAATGCTTCTGCAGCCCGGCTCTTCCCACACCAGAACCTGGGCAGGTCGTGTCCGCGCAGGAGCAGTTAATGTCGAGGAGCCAGTGTCAGGCGCAGTGGTTAATCATCCTGTCCCTGGAGTGCTGGTTCGAGTCCTGGATACTCTGCTCTGATCCAGCTCCCTGCTAGTGTGCCTGGGAAGACAGCAGAAATGGCTCAGGAATTTGGGCCCCTGGCATCAGAGCTGGAGTAGCCAGGACTTGAACTGACACTCTCATAAGGGGAGTTGACATCCCAAAGTGGAACCCTAAACTACTGCCCCAGATGGAAGTCATGTTGTCAGCTTGAGCCTGGCCCAGACCTAGTCACTGTAGCCCTTTGGGGAGTGAACCAGTGGGTGGAAGTTCTCTCCCTTCCTCTCCTCACATCTGCAGGCACTTGTGCATGGTGTGCTGACCTGCTGCTCCACAGCGCCAGCCCCGGCACTAAGGGCTTTTCTACCCACGTAAGTTCACAGCTTTCACTATAGTCTCACATGGTTCCAGGATCTATAAAAACTGGGAAAAAGTCATTCCTCCAACTGTGGTCCATGGCTCACCCAACACATGCAGCATCTCACCAATTACAGAGGAGAAAAATCAAATCCCAACATTAAGAAGAAAACAGGGAAAATGTTTAGCGCATTTCAAAGTGGGGAAAAAGTTTTCTGAGCAAAAAGGAGAGAAAGGCTGACGATATTTACAAATCAATTGCAGGAGAGATAGTCATATCAAACATCAACAAAATTGAAAACGTAAATAAGACAGTAAAAATATTTGTAACATACAGCCATCAAAAAAAGCTTAATGTATGGGGCCAGCAGGTTAAGTCAGTGTCTGTGACCCTGGCATGCCAGAGTGCTGGTTCGAGTCCCTGCTGCTCCACCTCTGGTCCTGCTGAAGCACTGGAGGAAGCAGCAGCGGTGGCCCCAGCGTCTGGGCTCCAGGCACCCACAGGGGAGGCACAGATGGACTTCTAGGTGGGTAAAAGCTGCCACCTGTGACGTGGGCATCCCATACACGAGTCGGCACTCACGCTCATTAGCTCCCTGCTAACGGCCTGAGTAAGGCTGCAGGAGATGGCTAAGGGGCTTGGGGCTGTGCTGGCACACAGGAGCCTGGAGGGGGCTCCTGGCCCCTGGCTCTGGCCCGGCTCCCTGCAGCAGTTGTAGCCATCTGCAGAATAAACCAGTGGCTGGAAGTTCTGCATCTCTAACTCCTCTGTCTTTCAACTAAATTACAAATAAACAGGGGGTGGGGGATAAGAAAAAACATGAGGCTTTCAAGCTGGAATGTCTCCAGAGGACACGGAAGAGAGAGAGCAGGAGCAGGTCCTTGCCCTGACGGCCTGGGGCACAGCCCTCAGGCGCTGTAACATCCAACAGACTGGAAACCAGGGCACTGGATGCCACAGCCTACACAGAGCTGCTTATGAACTTTAGTATATACCGCATGCCAGCTGACGCAACACACGCCGGTGTAACACACATACAGAAGAGCAGGCGGACACAACGCACACAGCCAACGGTCACTCCCAGGGAGCTCCCGTGCCCTCCAGACCCACTGCTCCATGCTGCCCCGGCTAACCACGGCCAGGTCCAACACTAAGCCTGAGCCTGCCACAGGGACTGCCACCCGCTGGGCTGATCTATCACCATCCGCAGCCCCACTGCACACGCCTGGCACGCAGAGGCGTCTCCTTGTCTCCTGTCCCTCCCCCCGACTCTCCAATAAAGAGTGAGTTCATTCCTGGTTTCTCAATGCCTTCAACCAGAGCTGGCGCCTGCAGGGACCTCGCTAGATGCTCGCCAGAGGGGGTGAGCAGATCCCGAGACCACTCAATACCACCCGGTCCTACCCGGCTCTCTTTCCCGGCCTGGCATTTCTACTTTAAAACATCGCCATTGATCAGCGGCAGGAGCACCTCGGCTCAGGAGTGCTGCCGCTCAGTGACTGGAGCGGGGCGTGAGGGGGGTACCTGATGGTCTCCCACACGTCGAAGCCGTCCAGAGGCTTGGTGCCACGGGGCTGCACCCCCGCCAGCCTCGCGAGCGTGGGCAGCCAGTCGGAGATGTGCAGGAGCTCCCCACTCTTGACGCCCTTCCGCTTCAGCAGCGGGCTGGCCACGAAGCCCACACCGCGGATGCCGCCTTCCCACAGGCTCCACTTCCGCCCGCGCAGGGGCCAGTTGTTGCCCCCGGCCAGGGTCTGCCCACCGTTATCTGTAAGACAGTAGGGCCTTGGCGTGAGTGAGCGTATGTGCAGAAAGGACGAGAATCTAGGAATCTAGATGGGAGCGCTGGAGCCAGACTCCATGGCACCTACTGCCTGCCTGACTGAATGGCACCTGGGTGTTAGGGTGGAGCCTCCTACAGGCTCCTCACAAGACGAGCCAACTCTGCGGGCACCACAGCCTTCAGGGACAAAACGCCTGAAAGACGTGCCATGCTCCGAGGCTACTGGACCTGTCATCTCACATGGAAGTCACGTGGCTAGAACTCGGGCTGCAGAGTGCTGCCTCAGGCAAACCCACGGGTCGTCCTCACTTCCCGCTGAGGAGTCTCCCTGACCCCCCATGCACGGCTCCCACAGTGCAGGCAGCCACACTGCCAACTTGCCGCCCGTGGGGGTCCCTGCGGGTCTTTAGGTCAGCAACTTTAGACACACTAAGAACACAGGACATCCATGTATGTTGGTGTTAAACGGCACTTTCAGTGGGACAGAAAACTTGGCACACCCTTTCTCATACTATTTTCCCTTCCCCAGACTAACCACCCCTTACCCATAGTAATCACCCTCTCCCAACTAACTACCCTTCTCCAGACTACTTCTCTCACACTAACTACCCCTTCCCCAAACTGACCACCTTCTATAAGCTAACTACCCTCCCCCAAATCAACCACCCTTTCCCCAAATTCTCTCTCCCTACTACCCTGTCTCCAAACTACCTTTCCCAAACTAACCATTCTAAATGCTAACTACCCCTTCCCCAAATGAACCACCACACTAACTACCCCTGCCCCACTGTCTCCTCCCACACCAATGACTCTCCAGCACTAACTACTCTCTCCTTCACTGACAACCACCTCCCACACTGACTGCCCAGCCCATCGACTTGCTTTTTTTTTAACCTTTAATCTTTCTCTAGCCCCCTCCTACCCTCCCCCAAAAGGAACACCACGGTTTTTGAAACACTCAGTAGGGGATATTCTGGTGAAGCTGCAGTATTTTTATATCATGTGATGCTCCTTCCTGCCTGACCTTGGTCACTTTGTTCCAGCAGTCCACAGCTCAGCCCTGACTCCATCCCATCCCTTTCTCTGGCACTCCAGCCCCAGTCCCAGGCCATGAACCAATGACTGGAAAATGTCTGGCAGTTGGGGAGCAGTGCCAGTAATAGTTCATAGTAACAGACCTGTGGGCTCTCAAAGTTAATTTTTTACTAAAAGTTTTTATACAGCCTTGAATTGTCTTATTTAAAAAAAAAAATAGATTAAAAATGGTGATGCTTTATAGCAAAAAAAAAGTTAAGCTGAAGTCAGACGTCCATCTGGCAGGCAAGGACTCAGAGCTGGAGTGGACCAGGGCTGTGGAGGACAAGGAGTGGTGTCTCTTGGGCAGTGGGTGAATGACCCCAGCCTCCATGAGGATGAGGAACCTTAGGGTCACCTTCCACGTGGCGTGGACTTCCACGTGTAGACACGAGTTTAAACCACTGCTATCGAGACGAGCCATGGAGTCCAGGGTGGCCGATCTGCTCCACAGGACAGCATTCTTTCTCCCCCTCCCCATGTGGCTGTGGATACAGCCATCCTGTTCCCCCACTGCCCCATGGATGCCTAGAGCTGGATTAGAACCCAACTCTACAGGGGCTGTTTCCCCTACAGCTTCACAGCTAGGACAGAACAGGCTCCTTACATCATGCTTGGGAAGAGATCAACAACAGTTTGATCATGACAACTTCCTGCGGTACACGCCCGGTCCCAGACCAGGACTGCTCAGAATTCCACTGAACTACTCGGGACAGCTTCTGATCGGAATCGCAGAAGCTATTTACTTCTGGAATCTTCCGTTTGATATTCCCAGACCATGGTAAGGCTCTAGGTGATTGAAATCACAGAAAGAGAAATTGTGGCTAGCAGGGACCCCTGCATACGACCCCTGTTACAGAGCGGAGAAGCTGCAGGCCAGAAGGCCCTGGAAGGGAGGAAGGAAGGTGTGCTCAGCAGCACTCACTCCGCACCAGGCGCCACTGATATGTTTTGCTTGTTTATCTACCTGAGACAGAAAAGGAGGGAGAACTCCCACCTCTGGCTCACAGCCCCAATGCATGCCTGCAACTGCTGGGGCCAGGCTGGGCTGAACCCAAGGGCTAGAACCCAGTCTGGGTCCCCCACCTGAACCATCACCACTGCCACCCAGGGGTGTGTCAGCAGGCAGCAGAGATCTGAATTGGAGCTGGGACACGGGTGCTGACCCCAGATGCAGACACCTTTCTGCTGGGCTCGGTGCCTGCTCCTTCGCCATGGTGGGGCTGGGGCTGGACAGACCTGGGACTACAGCCACATGAGAAAGAACTGACATGATCAGGATGGGCACGTGGCAGGGCACTGGCAATGGCAGTGATGGCTGCTGTCTTCACAGTCACAACCCACATGCCGTGCCAAACGTGAATGCCTTGTCACTTAAAATGTGAGGCTTGAAAGGGCCTGACAGCTGCCGAGAGGCCTGAGGCCTGTGTGCCTCACTTGGCCACTGCCCCTGGAGGGACAAGCTCCCGGTGTCTCCCACCAGGGTGGGTTTACAACGAGGGCCAGACGCACCTCCTCTCCCCTGCGGGACCCACACACAGCGGTAACACGGGCACAATGTGTCCTTTCAGGAATAGCAGCAGAGCAGGTTCAAGGTGGCCTGATTCCCGTCAGGAGCCTTGGCTGCTGCTGAGGGGTAAGAACCTCTGGACCTGGCTGGCATTGTGCTGCCACAAGCTGAGCAGCCGCCTGGAGCCGAAGTCAAGTCCCGTTGCTCTGCTTCCAATCCAGCACCTTGCTAATGGGGAAGCAGGGGAAGCTGACCTGTTTCCCTGGGGGCCCATGACCTATGCGGGAGACTCAGATGGAGTTCCAGGCTCCTGGCTTTAGCCCGGGCCAGTCCTGGCTGCTGCAGCTGCTTGGGGAGTGAACCAGTGGATGGAAGTTCTTGCATGCATGCTTGATCATACTCACTGTAATCCTGCCTTTTGAATAAATCTTCCAAGAAAAGAAAGGAAACTGAAGGCCCCATGGAAGCCCTGGCCCAGGTCCCCAGGTCTTGCTGGGCCTTGCTGAGTGCAGGTGTGCATTGGCCCAGATGGAAGTGAACTCCCCAATGCCTGAATTAGGGGGCCAGGGACAGAGATCCAAGAACCAAGGAGCCTTCCTCACCCCCACCACCTCTCCTCCTCACAAATCCTCGAGGCCCAGGCCAGCTTTCACAGCACATTCTGTTTCACACTGGGTTGGCTGGCCCACATCTCCTTGCAGGCAACTGCTCTACACCCAGGACTCTGCAGGGATACTGGGGCCACGGATAGGACTCACAAACTACCACGTGATGTGAAGTCACAGCATAGGGACATGCTGACTCCCCACTCAGGATCCAGGGCCAGAACAGAACCACCTACCCTTGACTATCATGGACAACACAGCTGCACGCCTTGGGAGGTGCCCACTATGCCTGCTAAGCTGTATTTGACATGCGTGTCAACTCCATGGCTCTCAACAATGCACAAACCTAGCTAGTGTGGGAAGGAGGCTGTGGGGTGTGACACTGGGAGCAGCCCAGCCACGACGGCAGAGGATGATGCTGTGGGCTGTGTGCCCCACATGGCTGCTGCTGGGGGCGGCACAGTGTCTCCACGAGGCCCTAAGGGAAGGGCGGAACCATGAGTGTGGCTGTTTCTGCCATTAGCTTGGTAGGGCTGCTTTAGTCATCAGCCACAAGCAGAGGTTCTTCCATCGATTTTCCATATGGCTTCCCCAGGCAGGCCAAGGGCCCTGTGGGGAGAACACGGTCAGCAAACACACCTGCCGCTTCTCCTGGAGCCTGGTTCCATAGCCAGAGGCAGCCGCAGTACACAAAGCAGGTCATCTGGCCTTGCTACAGTCCCTGTAGTTGGCATCTGCTGGGGCGGCTGCTCCTTGGCCATGTAGCAGACCCCACTGTGCCAGACCCCGAGACGGTTAAACCCTGAGAATGGGGAATGCAGGGCCCTGGCACAGAGTCTCCCCAAGGGTTTAACATGAACCTGATCACGGCAACAGAAAGCAAAATGTAAGGATATCTGAAATAGGCAGAAAAAGGTGTTTCCCAAATCCTGGGGTCTGACATAAACTGAAAAAGCCAACGACCACAGCCATGGCCACTGAACCCCTCCTAATTCACTTTTTAGCAGACCCCATTGTTGTTCTAAGAATCAATTCACAACTGGACTCTGCCTCGTCTCCTGTTTGAGTTGGGAGAAAAACATCCTTCTCTGAGTCCCTCTGGCATGTGAAGGACACGAGACCTTCACAGAGAGGTCGCATGTCAGCAGCAGCTGGGCAAAGGGAGCCCTTCACCACGAGCCCTTTGGCTGTCCAGAGGGGAAATGTCCAAACAGAGCAACGTGGCCATGCACACATGGCCAGGCTCACTTCACGGCTCGCTACTGGACAAAAGTCACCATCAGAGCGTCACGGGCAGGCGTTGCTCCCCAGAGGGGACTCTCACAGGCAGGCATCGCTCCCCAGAGCTGAGTGGATGCAGGGCCCCAGCCCACCATGGCAACCTCTCTCAGGGCTGGGCGTGGCTGGATGCAGCCCCTCGCCCTGTGAGAGAGAGAGAGAGAGAGAGAGAGAGAGAGAGTGTGTGTGTGTGTGTGTGCGTGTGTCGGGGGTCTCCAGCCCATGACCCTCAGGATGCTCCAGCCAGGGGCTTTCCTGAGACCTGTCACCACTCTAATTTGAGCATCTTGGAAGAAGAGGCAGGAAAAGGCTTGAGGAGCTGCACAAGGATCTTCTCTGAATGGGACCCTCCCCACCCCTTGCAATGTTGGCTGAAGGATGCGCAGGTGATGTAGTCTGAAAGGCAGAGGTGTTGCTCTGGCCCCCAAAGTGCCTCTCGGTGGCAGCTGGATGGCTTCCGTATCAACCCAAAGGCAGCTAGTCATAGCCAGGGTTGGACAAGTGGAGTTCTCTGCTGC